GTTCCTGAGGTCCCGCGTTTACGCTGGACCCCCTGGCTGTACATGGACCTAGCTTGAGACTAGGTACCTCCAAGCAGTCCTGCCTGGAGGTGCCTGGTCTCAAGCTAGGTCCATGTACAGCCAGGGGGTCCAGCGTTTGTAAAACGCTGGACCCTCAGGAACAGAAAATTTTGAAGAGTTTTTGGCCAAAAAGCTCGGTATCAATTTCGTTCAAAAAATAAAAACGTCCATTTTGACGAAATGGTCGTTAAAGGCAAAGAGGTAAAGAAAAGGAGGAAACCGAACCTGACAGGGAAAGATTGATAATCCAATTGTCACAAAGCAAATAACACATCCCACAGATCAACATATCTTTTCTTTTTTCTTTTTTTCTTTTTTTCTCTTTTTTAATTTTTTTCTCTTTTTCTTTTCTTCCTTTTTCCTTTACCTGTCCCCACCTCGACAGATAGGACAGCTACGGTGAGGATGATGTGGATGTTCACAAGGATGCCCAAGGAGAGCTGCGCCAGCACAGCATTCGCCAGGACGCCTAGCACGAACCATCCCATCAAAACAGTACTGACAGAGGACATGTTGTCCACATGTCAAAAAAACAGCAGGACGTTCATCACAGTGCRGCATCATACAGTTCTGATAGCGTCCTTGGGCACAAAAGGGACAACGTATATCTGGGTGATAGGGATGTGTACAATTGAGGTAATTGGACACCCTTCAGAACAGACGGTGGCAGTCGCAATAGATTGATAATGGCTATGGCATAGATGATGCATTCCACAGCCAAGGCACACCGCGTCTCTGTCCCTACAGGTGTCACACGAGAGTCTGTCAATAATCCAGAACAAAGTATGATTCGACAATGCTCGCAAATTCATTCACGTCGAAAATGACCTGACTCATCGTCCCACCATCCCACAGTTCCCACTGGGAAGCTGCACGAATGAGTGCCATATAATGCCCGGGTCTGTGTAAAATACAGGCAGAAATATGAGGATGGTTATTGAGGGCATCACCTGGCATCGCATGATGCATAAGAAGGTGGCGACCGTGACACGCTAACTGTAAGACATTTACAGTAAAGCCTCCTGAGGTAGTATAGTTACTACGGTGGACTATTATGGTCAAACAACAACTGATTTTCAACAGCGTCAAGCTGATAAGAAATCGTAAGAAATTGGGATGCACTATAACATCGACTATTATGGNGACTATTATGGTCAAACAACAACTGATTTTCAACAGCGTCAAGCTGATAAGAAATCGTAAGAAATTGGGATGCACTATAACATCGACTATTATGGTCAAACAACAACTGATTTTCAACAGCGTCAAGCTGATAAGAAATCGTAAGAAATTGGGATGCACTATAACATCGACGCTGATAAGCCTGTATCCACCCGCAGATCCGAATCGGTCACCACTGGAAAGGCAGGTCTGATCTGGCGGGGTCGGCGCGTAAACGACGAACACCGTCGGCGTGGCAGAGCAGGCTGTCGCTAAGACAAAGAACCCCGCAGATTAGCATCAGCACGACGTCGAGAGGAAGGGGGACTGGGAGGAGGAGAGAATGAACAACACCGCTGACGCCCCAATATGGACAACGAAGATAGAGGGGCCGGTCTCAGCCGGCGTGGGGAAGAGGAAGGCAAACTAGAGGAGGAAGTCAAAGAAGAAGAGGACGAAGAAAAGGATGTTAAAAGGAGGAAGTACTAAAAGTAGAAGAGAAGCAAGGGCAGGGAGGGGGAGGGGGAGGGGGAGAGGGAGGAGGAGGCGGAGGGGGAGGAGGAGGAGAAGGAGCAGAGGAAGGGGGAGGATGAGGGGGAGGGGAGGAAGGAGAGGGGATAAAAAGGGGAGGAGAAGGTGGAAGAGGATGATGCATGGACCAGCAAAGCAGGCAACGAAACCATTGTGTAATCCTCCTCACGTGTATAGGCTGCCGATGCTGGCGAGCACGAATGTAACAAGTCCATCCTCGGGCCAATGTCGAAGGACTATGGCCACGGGAAAGCAAACGGCAGACAATCATAGTCGCTGCCATTCTGAAATCATGCCAATTGTCACAAATCTGCTCAAACTGCGTAAGCTGGCCAGTGAACACACCTGCAGGCTGATGAGATGGAATGTTTGACATTGCACTAGGGTATCGAATGACAGGAAAATCCCATGCAACAGTCTTATGACTCTTATCAAACACACTCAATCGGAGAGATCCATCTGTTCATGTCTGCAGTTTCGCGCCTTGAAAAGTGCAGGAACCATCAGCAGCAGTCGTCTCCTTATATTCAAGACCATAACAAGCTGGAGATGGTGGCAGACAACCAAAGGTAAGGACATCAATGAACCGATAAGTAAAAGCATATCGCCTCGCTGCAGAGGGATCCACACGCTGCAGGTTGTCCACATACTGCGCCTCATCCCAATAGAGTGTAACATTAGCAATCTCGGGACCAGCGTTTGTACCCATAGGAATACCAACATCTTGATGACGAATAACGCCATCTGCTGTATATATATCGTCACAAACAGAACTGCCCGGTATATATCGTCACAAACAGAACTGCCCGGTAAAACCGTAGGCAGAGAGAGAGAAGAGGACAACAAACGAGGGGCTGTGACAAACTGTTTCGTCGGAGTTTCACCGACTCATCAGGAGGCTGAAATATATATCGTCACAACCATATATACATTGTCACAAAAGTATCAGAGCACAAATGCGAAAAAAAGAAAAAAGAAGGAAAAGAGAGAAAAACAGGAGAAACTGAATTCATTTTTTTATCTTCTTCATTATAACTCGCCTTGTTCAGAACCTATTGCATACATCCGGGTTATATATTGTCACACTGTAAATCAGAGCGCGAAGGCGGAAAAAATATATCATCCGGGTTCTCTTTTATTGTCTTGGCATCCTATTTGGTTGCTTCCCATTGTTCGGCCTGTGTGAGGGGGCAGTGATTTTGTGGGAATCGTCATCTGGGATTGTCTTTCATGTTTTTTATCACAGTAAAAACGGTTTACAAATGGGACTACCCACGTATGTAACCTCTACTAATCTGGGATTTCTTTTTCTGCAGACGACTTTGTCGTAGCCCGTGGGTGGTCTTGTCCTGTTGTTTGGCCTGTGTGGGTCGATATGACACACAGGGGTGGGGGCAGCTGCCGCTCAAAGCCTCAACCTACATCCACGTGGGCAGCCTTGTACGCAAGAGGTTCTGAACGGGGGGAGTTGTAAGAAAGAAGATAAAAAAACAAATTATTTTTTTTTTGTTTTCTTTTCACCTTTCGACTCTTATTAATGTGACAACATATATTGTCACATGATATCAGAGCGCCAAAGCGAAAACAGAAAGAAAAAAACAAAAAAAAGAAGGAAACCTTAATTCATTTTTAATCTTCTTCCTTACAACTCCCCCTGTTCAGAAAGAACCTCTTTTGCGTACAAGGCCACCCACGTGGATGTAGGTTGAGCGGCGGGCCGCGGCGGGCCGCGGCTGCCCCCACCCCCATGTGTCATATCGACCCACTTGCACACAGCCAAAAGGCAAAGAGGCAAAGAAAAAAGGAAGGGGACAGCCAAATACAATAAAACAGTGTGCAACAAATACAGATCCCAGATGACAAGTCCCACATGCCCGCACCGCCCCTGCCCACAGGCAAAACGACGGGACAAGACCAACCAGGATGTCAAAACATTCTTGTCTGCAAAGAAATAAAAAAGAACCCAGAAAACCGGTATAAAAGACGATCCCGGATGACGATTCCCACAAACAATTACCGCCCCGCATTCCAAAAGGCCGAACAACAGGAAACAACCAACCAGGATGCCTGTATCGTCTTGCGGAGCTGCTTGCTGAACCGTAGGAAGAGAAGGAGAAGAGGATGCATCATCATAGAAGAGGACATACCTTCATAAGAAGTGCCTGCCGAACCGTAGGCGGACAGGGAGAAGAGGACAGCGAGCAAGGGGCTGTCACAGACTGCTACCGCAAAGGCGGAGTGGGAGAAGTGGACAGTGAGTGACGGCCTTTGACAGAGGGAGAGGGAGAGAAGTGGACAGCAAACAACGGGCTGTGACAGACTTGCATCTGTGTCTCATCAACTCATCAGGAGGCTGAAGTTCCACTGAACCGTCCGATTCTCTTAAGCATGCACTATGATTTTCGTGTTCATCAAACAACACTAAGCCCTCTTAAGCATGCACGACGATTTTCATGTTCATCAAACAACACATTACATGCATCCGGACATACCAAAAAGCACACCATATTTCCGAGAAGCCACCAAGCAACAGAGTAGTCAATGCATGAAATGAGAGAAAGTTCATAGACAACACAAGCCAATCGAGGCAGTACCAAAAAGCGACCACAGAAATGCCATTAGTCTTCCCAAAAAAAAACACAATTATCGCAACATACACCAAGCGACAGAGAGGTCAAGCGATGGAATGAGAGAGTAAATAGACAAAGCCAATGGAGGCACTACCAAAAAGTGAACACATACATAGACAACAAGCCAATGGAGGCTCTATAGAAAAGCGACCACATGCATGCCATTTGTAATCCCAAAACTTCTTTAATCATAACATATCAAAGCAACAAAAAACACAAACATCCAGACTTATGTCCCCCCAACATAAAAAAAAAGAAACAGACCCGTACAAGATCATCCGCACTACCAAAGAGCGAACACATACATAGACAACAAGCCAATGTAGGCACTATAAAAAAGCGACCACATACATGCCAGTTGTCTTCCCACACTTCTTTAATCGCAACATACAAAGTACTACAACACAACACATCTTCAGCACATTGAGAAAAACAATCACAACAACACAACATCATCGAGAGAAAATGCAATCACAACAAAATCACTTCACCAATCACATTTTAAAAATGCAATCACCATTCCCGAAGCGCAGAAAGCGCAGACATCATCATGTATTTAAAGATTGAATTTACCCGTCGATCCAATGGATCGATCTATCAATCACCGGTGTTCCTCCTTAATGCCAAAAGGCATAGACCCAAACGATACCTGGACTAATTTACACGATATGTGCATATTTTCTCCAGGAGTGTGCATATGTACAGTCCCCCCCATCTATGTATGTGTCCGCATCATGTATTTGTCAAGGATTGACTTAATGTGTCCGCATCATGTATTTGTCAAGGATTGACTTTACCCATCGATCCAATCTCTCGATCGGCTCTATCAATCCCCGGTGTTCCTCCTTAATGCCGAAACGCATAGACCCAAATGATGAACCTGGACTAGTTTACACGATATGTGCATATTTTCTCCAGGAGCGTTTATACGTACAGTCCCCCCCATCTATGTGTCCGCCAATGTATCGGATAGCACAATCATGCTTCAAATTCCTATTCCCAACAATCCCAGCTGCACTACTGCGCAGAGTCTATTTTTATATGTCTGCCTACTGATAGTAATACAACTATACTTCAAGTTCATATTCCTGAGAGCGCTAATGCACAATTACTTACCGGCACGACTATTGCCCTTTACGTCGAGCTGCATGTCTGGCACCCCTTTACGTCGAGCTGCATGTCTGGCACCCCTTTACGCCGAGCTGCATGTCTGGCACCCCTTTACGCCAAGCTGCATGTCTGGCACCCCTTCACGTCGAGCTGCATGTCTGGCACCCCTTTACATCAAGCTGCATGTCTGGCACCCCTTTACGTCGAACTGCATGTCTGGCACCCCTTTCCGTCGAGCTGCATGTCTGGCACCCCTTTCCGTCGAGCTGCATGTCTGGCACCCCTTTCCGTCGAGCTGCATTTCTGGCGAGCTGCATGTCTGGCACCCCTTAACGTCAAGCTGCATGTCTGGCACCCCTTTCCGTCGAGCTGCATTTCTGGCACCAAATCACAACTTCCAATTACCACCTGTACTGTAAATCACTACTGTACAACCTGAGCTTCCCATCCGCCGACTCTCCATTCCACGGTTTCCACCCAGTCCACAGATCGTTGTCGAGCTGCATTTCTGGCACTAAATCACAAATTAAAATAACCACCTGTACTGTAAATCACTACTGTACAACCTGAGCTTCCCGTCCGCCGACTCTCCATTCCATGGTTTCCACCCAGTCTACAGATCGTTATTTTTTTGTATAAAAGGTGTTGCAAAGAGGATGGCATGTCTATGAAAGGCGTTGCAGCCAGGATATAGCATGTACGTGCATGCACTTGTGGGACTGAAGACCCAAATTATGTTTGCACGTATCACCTCATCATCTCGTAGCAACGCTTTCAACGAATATCTTCACTGGACTTGACACTCTTTCAGCAACTGCTCACTGAATAGCAGTGCCTACGTCCTACAGCAATAAAACCACCCTACTCTCCTAAAGGGTAATTCACTCATCAGAGTCATCATTGAACGACTGTTCTATTCACCATGCCATCTTCGAGGGGTAATGCCCAACGCAGTTCTCCGTGCTATTTATCAAAATCCTCGTTAAAATCGGGCAGTATCAACGACCCCTCAGAAGCTAGAACCCTTCCCCGATCACTCCATTCGTCTGCACCCATTGCACCCCATCCATTTACTCACCATGCCACGTCATCATCCACTCACCATTGTTTTTTTGGCTGACGTCATCATCCATATCACCATTTTCGGCTTGATTGACTGAGAATGCCGCTATCCATTGTTCCATGCCACGTCATCATCCACGTCACTATTTCACTGATCGGGATTGCTGCTGCTTCCCTTGACATCCAATTACTGCTGCGACTGCAACATGATGGGCTGCTGCTGCTCCTCCCTGGCATTCTTCCGTGCAGCTTCCATGGTCGCAGCATGCTCCTCTCCATACCACGTCACTGTTTCATTGGTCGGGTTCACAACTATTCTCCTCGACGACAACGATTAATGTTGTGACTGCAGCACGCGCTGCTCCTGCTCCTCCCCAGCATTCTTCCGCGCAGCTTCCATGGCTGCAGCGGCTACACCCCCAGGCTCCACGATGCCAAGAGGATGAGCCCGCTTCTCCACTTGCTCTATCCGCGCTGCATCAGCGAGGGTAATTGGCTTATCCGCTTCCAAACGCGCGTCCACGTCAGCCAACACTTCGCCGAGAGTGTGCGCTTGTCCCGTCTGTCCCGCTCCCGCACCTACTCCCGCTGCAGCTGCCGCAGAACCATGTTGCTCTGGTCTAATCAGCCCAGCAGCAACGTTGTTATTAGCAGCAGATTGCGCATGAGCTCCCAGACTCCCCTTCATGGTCTGATGACCCACCGCAAGTGACTCCGCCATCTTGATGGCCTCCGCATCGCTGGGGGTGATGGGCTTGGACAACTGATCGATTCCTACCTTGCGCAACACATCACCGATGGTAATCTTCCCCTTATCATCCTCGCTTCCTCGAAAATGTGGTGGTCCCCCCGGTGTTACCTGACCCCCAGCCTGGTCTCCCTGACCCCCAGCCTGACCCCCCGCTGTTTGCTGCTGCTGATAGCCCTGCCCCGGAACTCCGCCTGATCCAGTGGGCTGGGCTTCCCCTGCCCCGACTCCTCCCCCAGCCCCTCCCACACCCTGTGCAGCCATCCCTCTTCCAGTTATAATCGTCGTGGCACTCGTACCCCCGACCCCTCCCGGGCCCGCCCCAGGCGCTCCTGCTCCGCGGCCCCTACCCGCTCCCCCTCTTCCTGAACCCGCTCCCGCTCCCCCTGCTGCCCTTCCGCCAGGTGCCACCACCCCCCTTCCGGCTCCCCCTGCTCCCACTGCCGCTGCCGCGCCAGTAGGACCTGTAAAAGCCCCTCCGCCTGCCCCTGCTGTCCCGCGACCCGCACCTGCCCCACCTGCCCCTCCCAATCCCCCTCTTCCGGCTGCTGCTGGTCCTCCTGACCCCCCTTGACCCCCTGCCACGTTCACCCAGCCCCTAGGGCCTGCTGCAGAACCTTCCTCCTGCCGTGCTTCCGCCATCTTCCCCACGGCATCCGCCCCCGCCGAATCCAACTCCTGCTTGACCTCCTGCGCAACCTGCCCGCTCTGCTGCAAAGGAGCTGGGCCTCCTGGTGTCGCAGCCGCCGGCACAGACTCCGCCGGGTCCGCATACCCCGCCAAAACGTTCCGATTGGCTGCCGCTTGCGCCTTGGCAGCAACCCCTTTTTCTCCCTTCTGCACCCACCCAAACTCTTGCTGTTCAATTGTGTGCAGTGCGGTTGCCTCCGCAGGAGTCACGGGCTGCACCATGCACCATGCATGCATTTGCATGTCACACAAATTGCATGGAACTGATCAGTTTGCAATTTCACGATAATCAATAAAACAAACCAATCAGCACGCTGAAGCGATCAGTGCAAGATAATCACTAAAACAAACCAATCAGCAGGCTGAAGCGATCAGTGATAACCACAAGGTCACAAGGTCGACAACCCAACCAATCACCATGAGGACTCATCAACCATGACCATGACCAGGAGGACTAATTCACCATACCCACAAGCAACCAATCATAACCACAATCAAACCAATCAGCTGTCTGTAACGATAAGACTAAAACCACAAACTATCTTTCCGTCCCGGTACATTCAAATCACGTGCGTTGTTTTCGGGTAAACCCGGTAGATACACTATTCTTGCCCATCACGACCCCGATGATTTCTTAGACCCTTACCGTATTTGGTGCAGTATTCAGACTACCTGGATACAACAATGATGACCGCCCCGTGCCCGATCATTACACCCGTACTCGGTGCAATTTTCAGACCACCGTCTTCCCACGAATATACATATTCTGGTAAAGAATGCACACAGGCTACATTTCCGTCTTCATACAATCAAAATGAGGGTTGCCTTGCATTCGGCGGCAGACGGTAGATACAACAATAATAACCAGCCCGTCAGTAATCTCTATAACTTTCCCCACCCCTTTTGGGGACCTGTCGGAGATTTTCAAACCCGGTTTGCGGACCAGTCAGACCTTTCGCCACGGTCCAGGGGCAAACGAGTACCACACGTTTTTTTTTTTTTTTTTTTTTTAGTACCACACGATTTGTCGCAGGGGAGATCTATAATTTGTATATATATCGTATATATATTTTAATTTGGACCATTTCTCGATGTATGCGTGTCATCCTTGCGCCGTGGCCATGCTAATCTTCTCTCTTTCTATCGTTCCAACTTTAACGGATGTCCCGAAGGACGATCTATAATTTTTCCCGACATAAATCAAACGTAAACCCACAAGATTCACCAAACATAACGACAGATAAATTACGTACGTATTTAGCGACACTGGAATTGCGACCTGCTTTCACCCAAAAAAAAAAAAAAAAAAAAAAGGAGATAGTGTCCTACCTTCTCTGCTAATCCGCCAGCCTTCTCCTGCAATACGTCTTCCATTGTGATAGGCTGCTGCTGCTGCTGCTGGCTCGCCATCGTTTACCTCTTTCAAAATCTTGTCAGAGTCGTTGCTCTTTTCAAAAAATCTCGTTACTCTTTTCCAAAAGACCTCACAGCAAACGACGTCTCGTCAGAGTCGATTATACAACCACCGTGCGAGAGCAGCGATATCGCTTTCGACGTGACGAGTCACTTCGACAGAATTTTCACGGAAGTCTGATCTGTGCTCACCGCGTACGTCTGTTCACACAACAAGGAAAGACAGCCGAAATCTTTGCAGTTAAACACAACAAAAAAAAAATCCGACAACGCCGCAGAACAGATGTCATAAGCGAACCAATATCTTAAATTTTTTAGAAAATGAAAGCGCAAACCAAATTAAATTTTCAGAAAATAATCACCCTGACCGACGGGCCTAGCTTAGTTGGGACACCCATGAACTGTGGATATACACACTTGGGTACGAATCCAGATCCACCGTCTTCCCCCGAATACAGCTTACTGTCATTATAGCTGTATTTAGACTGAAAGATGCCCCAGATACGGTTATAATGACCGTACGTTGTACTCGGGGAAAACTATAGTATTCACAACCTATCAGGCTGAGAGAATCTGCGGTCTTCTCTTCCTTTGCTCGTAAGTATCTTGAGGAGCAAAGTGCATAAGGCGATTGCTTTTCAAAAAGGGACGCTGGACCCGATTTCCATCGGGTGCCCCTCCTCACCAGTCATACTCCCAGAAACCTCGATCTCACATCTCCTACCATGACGGGATCGCAGGTCTCAGGGATGTTCAAAGGAAAAAAAAAACAAAAAAAACACCGTGAGCCACGGTAGACCGGTAACCAGCTGCAGTAAGCTACTCCAACCCACGGTAAACCACGCTGACTATGGTATGCCACAGTAAGCCAGACACGGAGAACTACGATACCAAAACGAAACAAACTGCAAAAAAAAAACGAAACAAAAACTACAACTTCCGCGCAGTCGGGATTCAGTTTGAAAACGCACTTGAGGCAAAAGGGCCGGCAATGGCGAACGTATACAACCCAGGTTTCGGGTTACGTGGGGTCACGTGGGGGGTGCTGAATTATTCGCGGGATTGCCTAAAGTGCATTTTCAAACTGTTTTCGTGACTGCGGCGAAGTTACCCAGATAAGGAGCCACAGTACAACCACAGTGAGGCACGGTATACCGCTTACCGGCCACGGTAAGAATATCAAACTCACGGTAAATCACGCTCAAGTCACGTAAGCCACATCAAGCCAGGCACGGGGAACCAGAATGAGCCCCGGGGAAACCGAAAAGCAAACCACAGTACAACCACTGTAATCAACGGTAACTCCGCAAGCCAGCCACGGTAAGATTAATGTTTTATCTTATTCGTCTCCACCGAGGATAAACTTCCGAGTCAAGACGAGAACCTCCAATCAAAAAAAGCACACCAATGGGCCTTAACGTCAGCAACGAATTCTGACCGGTCATGACTCATGCACGCGTGACTGAAGGGAGACATCGCCGATCGATAGTCACGTCTGCGACACGCTCTTTCCGTAAGTTCCGTTGCATGTGTCAGCTGACGCTCGCTAACGCTTCCGCGTTGGCTAGAATTACCAAGCTTGCATCTGCTTCTTGATCGCTCAAAATAACAGTGATGTTGCCTATTGACTACGACGAACAAAGAGAAACAGCCCAGTCAAGGGTACAGAACCATTAGCGATCGCCTGACAAATCAACAGTACCAGCGATCACCTGACGGCGTACAAACCAGCGGCGACTCGTCGCCAATCACCTGATGGCGTACAAACCATCGGCGACCGCATGACCACGACCACCGTCAACCAGCAAAGAGGGGTACCAACAAGTGGCTACACAGACATCAACTTTCTCTCTCTCTCTCTCTCTCACACACACACACACACACACACACGCCCTCCTAGACACAACACACATATACAAACACATANTCTCTCTCTCTCTCTCTCTCACACACACACACACACACACACGCCCTCCTAGACACAACACACATATACAAACACATACAAGCACTCCTAGACACACGCAGACTCTTCACACGCACACGGACTCACACACTCCCGTTCAGGGACAACCTCGCACACACGCACACAAACACTGTTCTCTCTCTCTCACACACACACATACAAACACTCCTAGACACACACACACACACGCAGACACTCACACGCACACGGACGCACACACATTCTCGTTTAGGGACAAACTCGCAGACGCACACACACACACACATGCAAACACTCTTCACACGCACACGGACGCACACACGTTCCCGTTCAGGGACAAACTCGCACCCACGCACACACAAACACAAGACACATACAAACACTCAGAAACTCTTCAGGCAAACACACGTACTCTTCACGCGCACACGGGCGCACACACGCACGCAAACACTCTTCACGCGCACACGGACGCACACACGGACGCACACACGCACGCAAACACTCTTCACGCGCACACGGACGCACACACACTCCATTTTAGGCACAAACTCGCACATCTCACACATGCATACACCCATACACAACCACCGCTCTCCGTGGGAGGGAACGACGCAATGGAAATCAACAAAATCACATTTAGGAATAATGGATTTGAAAGGCAAAAATCGACGAAAGGAAAATTGCGGACTCGACACTACAACAGCAGTGGCAACACAGCAATCGTATGAAAATCTCACAACATAAAAGAAAAAAGGTACGCTACAAACAGGGCTGGGCGGGCTGCACAATGAACAGATCGGGACTCAAGTCCGACAATGCCAGCGACAGAGGGATAGACCCGAGAGAGGAACGGAAGAAATAAGGGAAAGTCGCGAAAAATTATAACGCCATATTCCCTCATAGCAACACAGGGCCTCGCTGCACTAAACTTTCTCTACGCGCATTTCCACGCCTTTCTGGACCAGGTGCATTTATCCCAGTCCAACATTTCGAAATTATCGAGAAGATTTGAGCTCCGGATCCGTGTAGAGTGTTGCGCAGTGGAACGAGGCCTATAGTCTCACAAACTCACGTGTGCAGTCGTCATCTTTCCCCAGTACTCCTAGCGCAGAGGTTGGGGACGGCTTCACGCTCCATCACAACTTCACAACCATTACGCAATGCCCCCCTCACTTGTTTAGATCGACCAACAACAAACCCCAGTTATTTAGATCGACCAGCAACAAACCCCAGTTATTTAGATCGACAAACAACAAATAGCGGGGCCGAACCAGTACGAACATGGAGGAATTCTTACTACTCACGTTTAGAAGTAACCGTACAAAAAAAAAAAAAAAAAAAAAAAAAAAAAAAAAAAAAAAAAAAAAAAAAAAAAACCCCAAAAAAAAAAAAAAAAAAAAAAAAAAAAGAAAGAAAAAAAAAGAAAAGAAAAGAAAAGAAAACCCCGTACGTTCAGAAATAACCGTCCGTATTCGGAGTAACCACATGAACGAAACCACGATTGAAGTGACCAAGAACTCACGAGAGAAATAAATAACCGCATGCTGCGTAAGCACATCAACGAAACCACGGTGAAAGTGACCGAAGCAACAAAATTAGGTTTCATACCTAACTAGGCTAACTTCCATGTCTTCAGTGAGCCAAGAAGCGGTCGAATGCAACAACGAGAAACAGACTAACCACCAGAGCAATATCATTGACGAGGTTATCGTGTACGGCCGCTGTCCCATCGCTTTGTATCGTAGTCATCACCTGACGCCAACGCGCCAGATGACGTGATAAGTCATCCCGAATGTTCGCTGTAACGTAGCTACGTAGCGTAGTTATCGCCTGACGCCATCGCGACAGATAACGGCCCTCCATATCTGCTGAAACGCTATCTCAACGGTATCACCAGTAGCCGAGCACGCCAGACTTCAACAGCCTACAGCTGGTCCGAGCGCCGTAGGAGGTGTACGGGTAATACCCCTATTACCCCTACCCCCCCCCCCTCCCCGCGCACAACTCGCACACTCACACTGTGATGGCCAAAGAGTTAAAGACCCCACCAAAAGTTGGTTGGCACCAGGTGTGCCCCAGGCGGCGATCGGGGATTGAACCCACGCCTTCCTGAACGTCACTTGCGTGCCTAGGCACCTAACCTGCCGTAAGCCCGCTTGCCGAAGGCTGACGTATCACGGCCGTCGCCCAAAACCGATACGGTCGTCGCCCAAAACCGAAAACAATCAAAAACAAACAAGAAACCAAGGTCCACGGCTGCGACGCAGCAGCACGTACAGGGCCTCGCTCCACCGAACGTTCTAAATTAGCAGTATCTGGACAGCATTTCACTCCGGTGCATACAGACTGAGCTAAGCGTCAGATAGAATCAGAAAGTTGTGTAGCTCTCTGCCATGGAGTGATACCAATTACTCTCTACACTGGCTTGACGGAAGAAGCTAGTGCCCCAAGCATTTTCCATTCCAGAAAGACAGTGGCCGGAGAGAGCGTGCACTTCGGCACGCCCGCTTCGCGCAGCGCAGACTCTAGTGGAACACACACATACACCGGTGCGGTGCGTGAAGACTTGCGAACAGACAGTGTCACTCAGCATGTAGCGAATGCTATTGCACCGTATCTCGAGTCCTACATGTTCGGCGTATTGCTAGCAGCATCAGCATCAGTGATACGATGCAGCAATACACGTTAAGATTCACCAATTTCACTATGCGTTCATGCAACCAGTGATTAAAAGCTTGTGTCAGCGACGTGTGTGTGTGTGTGTGACACACAGAGAGAGAGAGAGAGAAAGAGAGAGAGAGAGAGAGAAAGAGAGAGAGAGAGAGAGAGAGATGGACCGGAGAGGAGAAAGATGGACAGGGGCGAGAGAGAGAGAGAGAGAGAGAGAGAGAGAGAGAGAGAGAGATGGACCGGCAACGGAGGAACAACGGCAAGAGAACAATAGTCGAGCAGACTCGAGCTAACGAAGAACGGCGTGTGCCGGCGTGTGACAACGCCACACAAACACTCGCACGAACTTCGACTGAAAAGAGTAAATGAGTCGAGGTGGAGAAGAAGCAGAGTGTAACAGAGCAAAACACAAATTGTATTCGCACGAACGTCTCACGACCGTGAAACCACGACGGTCACAACCGTCGCTCAAGCTGCGCCCCGTCTTTCGTCCTTGTGCCAGGAT